TAACTAAGTACTTGCATCTATGTTTTAGAGATTACGCAAAATTCTTAGATAAGTTTAAACGCAAAGAACTATTTGAACTGCTAGGAAAAATTGATTTATTTAGCAATAACATGAGAACAATTCAGAACTTACGCTGGGATAAAATTACTTGCGTACGAATAAAAAAAAAGGAAAAGAAATGCGAAACATCTTCCTTTTGGATTTATCTAACGTATACACTGAGAGAATCTTAAAAGAACTACAATTCCTACTGGGTAAACAGAGTCTTAGCAAAATAAGATTACTCAGAAGACACTTTGTAATGGAAAATACAGAAAGAAAACTGTAGGAAATCCTAGACAAGTTAGTAAAGAAAACCGGAAATAAATTATTAATCACAGAAAAGAAAGAATATATAACACCAGAATAAGGAACTATCAAATATACGGACTATTAATTGTGGTTATCATAAGCAAGAAAATACAGAAAAAATATCTATCAGATTGTTTTCGCATATGAAGGAAGTTCTGAGACCGTATTCCGAAGGCAATGTTTTAGTGAAACTTATCTTCCAAAAGTTAAAGAAAATGTTAAGAAAATCAAAATAGTCGTTAGAATAAAAGAACATTGTACAAAACTGCTTTCAAAAGCAGTGAAAGCGAGAAAATGTCCTCTCTTATTAAGAAAACACTGAGATGTGATCGAACAGAAACATGCTGAGAATTGAATCGGTTAAAAATAAAATCAGTTGAAAACAGTTTTCAGGAAAACGAGACATACAGTGCGTGATGGATACATTCTCATATAAATTACGCAAAAATGAAAATAACACTGACATCTCAAAAATATCTTGAAATACGAAAGTGTAAATCTCTTTAATAAAATCGCCATTGCTTTCAACCAGGTTCATCAGACGATTTAGGAATCTCCTGCAACTCTTTGGAGGGTCGCCTTCCTTAAGTTGGTGAATGCTGTCATGATTCTTGCCTTCAGTTCTTTGGTGTTAGAAGATGTTTTGTTGGTCGCTCGCTCAAATGCGCATCACACATAATAATCGAGGGGGTTGCAACCTGGGCAGTTATGTGTCCAGATTTAAGGGATGATATGGTTGCAGAAATTGTCTGACAGTCATGACTGGGTAAGCATGCTTGTGTGACTTCGTGCTGAGTCGTTTGCCAGTCATAGGGTTTTCCAGCAGCCTTTTCCTTATGCCATGTCAGCACTATCTCCGCAATGCACATCATGTAGGCCTCCGTGTTGAGTGTGAAGCTGTTTTGGAGGATGAATGGGAACATAACGTCGACATAACAATTGACCCCCCAAAAAAGTATCATGTTGACTGGATATATCATCGAAAATCTTACCCAAAATGTTCTGCATTTTCTCAGATTGACGACCAAACATTCTAAAATATTTGGATTGGTGCTTCCGGAGCAAATGCTAAGCAGTACAGTATGCCGTTTCCAAATTTATGGTGGAGTGATTGATGACATCGCACTCTTTTTTATCACAGACGGTGCCGAAATGACTCTACTGTACTGTACAGTCAACAATATCTAAACAAACAATGCGCATGCGCGAACTGAAAAAAATATGAAATGGAGAAAATTTATCCATCACACTCTGTATACACAAAATCATAAAGAAGCATGTGAAATATTTAGTAAACATAATGAGGAAAGAGGGCATGGAGTATTTTACTCTCAGGGATATACTGAGGACTAGATGACAAATTACTATTGTCCTGCCGAGTAAACTGCGTAAATAAATGGCAGAAAAAAGGTATTGAGAAGAAAATGACAAAGTAATAGTAACAAGGGTTAGGAAGTTGTGACGTTCAATGATAGTTCATGACATCTAGCGCATGACAAATAGAAAGGTTGACGACTTTTTTGACTTTAAGATAAAATCTTGCAAGATAATTTACAAACAGGCCTTTAAAATCCATTCGGTTACAATTTATTTCATGAATATATACAAATATTCATCTCTTCGGATCGCAGTTTTTTAATAAATGAAGTCAATTTTTCCAGACAAAGGAAGAGGGTGAGAAAGAAAAAAAAGGGGGAATGGCAAAATTTATATTAAAAGAGGAAGAAATAAAAAAATAACTTCATATAAAGTTTAAAATATTTTTCAACTTTACCTTTTTACTCATGATTAATATATTGCTCTGTTAATTACAATCAAGCCTATCAGTGTATCAAGTAAATGAAGATTTCTTGTTATCAAATATTCGAATATAGGGTAATTTTCCGCCAAGAATAACTCCTGGTAAGTCTTCTAATTCGGTTTGAAATATTTCACTGTATAAATTAAACAAATCCGTTGAGAAAACTCATCCATATCTTAATCCTATTTCTATTTCTATCCATTCTTTAAACGGGCAGACTATCCGCATGTAGGGTATTTTTTCAACAGAGATTATTTATTGTTCTACTCTATTCAAACATGTAAAGCAAGTTATTTTTATAAATCAAGTAGATTTTTGTTCCGTACCTTACCTTATTAATTAAGTTTGTGTGATTCTATAAAACCTAATAGTAGTGATTCCTGTTCATTCCAATAGAATTAGGATCGTAATGTATGTGTTTTAACAATAAAAACGCTTCTTTTGCTCTATTTAGGATAAGATGCTTCTCATTAGATTATCGTGATAGTTTTAGTTAAGATATGATTCGATTTTATTTTTATCTATCAGTTTGGCAAAAAGGAAAATTATGAAGTCTTCAAGTATTTTGCCAAAGTCGATCGATTCAAACGATATCAAACATTTAATCTCACATACAATCACTCATTTACACCCTCTTGCTAATTAATTGAAATTAAACAAATAATTCCGTTATTACTTACCTTTTTCGAATTTTCTAATGAAACATGACCCAGTTCAGATGTTAGTACTTCGTATGTCCATTCCATGAAGTATTTCCTTGCATATTGACCACAGATTCTCGATTAGATGTAAATAAGGTGGGTTTCCGAGCCAGTCGATAGTACATTTATTTGCTCACTGATAAGGCTCGCCAGTGTGTTCGTGCAGCGTTAGTTTTCGTAACCTTGTTTGGAGTAACGTCTATCGAAGGCAATGGGTATAGGACAACTAATCGACAGTCGAGACAATAGTGCCCGGGTGTGATGAAAATCGGATGCAATCACCGATGACAGAATATTTTTCGAGGTCAAACAAATTTTATCATATACCTCGAAAATAGATTTATGTACTGCACTCCACAGCAAATGACCTAGTATGAGGAAAAAATAGAAATCGATTTCACTCTGTCACGCCGGTGTGCCTAAAACTGACCTATGGTGCAAGAAAGGAAACTAAATCGGTTGTTTCAATTAATTTGCACAAGGGTGTATGTTAAGGGAAATTGTTGAAATATTTTTTGATTATGAGACTGTTTGTATGACAAATGTATTTGGAAATCTATTCCTATAGTCCATTTCATGTGCATTATTTTATGATTCCTTACTCAAATATGGAAATTCCCGTATATTTAGAATTTACTCTCCATCCGGGCATTCATTAAAAGTTACGAGATATTATGCAATATTATCCTAAAGTCCTTATAATCTAATGATGTTCCCACAGGCATAAATTTAGAAGTAAATTATGAGTTAACTGACATAATGCTACCTGAAATATTTCAATCAATTACCTTACATTTCATCATAAATATACACACCAGTATACAGACACAGACACTATCGAATTTTTTTTATGTTTTTAAAACGATTTTGAGAAAGCATGCATTCCGCATATATCAGGTATATTTTCAAATCCTGAGAAGTGAGCTGATATATATATATATATATATATATATATATATATATATATATATATATATATATATATAGATAGATAACTAGACTCGTTTTGAAAAACCCTCAAATTTTTGATTTGCTAATCAAATCAATCTCGAGGGAAAAAAGGTTTTAAAGAAAGAAAGAGGTACAAACACGAACTTCTGCCGACAAAAAAATCGCACAGATGCAGGTCTGAAGCCCAAAGAAAAAAAAACCGATACGAGTAACAACTAACGAACAAAAGAGCTCAATACAACCGTAGAGCAGACCTAGATACACCTAGTGAGCCAGACAAACCTACCTGGTTTCATCTAAACGGATCGTCAGGAAACTTTCCTGACGATCCGTTTAGGTGAAACCTAGGTATGTTTGTCTGGGTATAGGTATATATATATATATATATATATATATATATATATATATATATATATATATATATATATATATATACGATCGTTACAAATCCAATCGGTTATAATTTATTTAATGAATATATAAAATATTCAGAGTATTCTGTCTGTCTTTCTCTTTTCTATCTTTCTTTCTCTCTCTCACTACATATATATATATATATATATATATATATATATATATATATATATATATATATATAAAGAGATGTAAATATATGTAAAGAGAGATTGAGATAGTTACATGTAGAGGGAGATTGAGATTTTATTTTCAATTTGTAATTTTTAAATTCGTAAATTTTTTTAAAAATTTTTATTTTTTATTTTAATGCTAAGTACTTTCTATTTTAATATATTACAATACAATTTATCAGATAAATATATTCAGGTTCTAATACGAACAAGTAATCTCCCTTTAATAATATAATATTGAAAAAATTAAAATATGAATATTGCCCACAAAAATATATAATTATTTTTTTTTTTTTTTTTACATACATATATATTCCCAGTTATTCTAATTGCCAAATACAATTTTTAAATTAAAAAAAAACCCCAAAAAACAAGCTATAATCCCAGTATAAACCAGCCACTGAGATAACCACATATATTATAATTCTAGATTATCTAAAGGACTATGCATACTCAGCACCTGAAGATTGCCTCTTGCATGAAACTCAAAATCGTGCAAGTGGTGAGGGATAATATATATTTAATAATATATACTTAATAACTTTCCTATATTGCATGGGGCACTCTTTTATTAACACCAGTAATATCTGCGTGATATATTATAATTACAAAGATAGATAGATAGATAGATAGATAGATAGATAGATAGATAGATATCAGTTGATTACTGATAGGGATAATTCCAGTTAGGTCATGAAACCAAAGAGAGCTGAATTTAATAAAGAGAGCAATATATTAATAATAAGTAAAATGTAAATAGGGAAAATGTCTTAAACCTTATATAATTTTTTTATTTTATTTCTTCCACTTTTAATATACATTTTGCCCTTCCTTTTTTTTACTTTTTTTCTTTCTCTTTCTTTTCCTTTTGTTTGGACAAATTCATAGGAGGCAGGTAAGTTTCTCTATGCTGATAAGAGACAGAGGAGTTTCTCTATGGTGAGTAAATAACAGCAGTTTTGTTTTGGATGCATTAAAATTCAAAAGCTATTTCCTGCCCCACTGATTAGAAGTCGTTTTTGAGGCCAACGGCCAGTTTAACAATGCCGGATTTACTATTGATACAGGTGTAAGAGGTACTGTCGTAGATGCCGACTTGAGAAATGATGACGTAAGTACGATCATGGATGAAGATCAGAAAAGGTGTAAGGCAGACCCTTGATGAACACTAACGTTCGTATGGAATGAACTGGAATAGAACCCGTTCAGGACAGTCTTCATTTCATGGTTAGACGGGAATGATTGGATTAAATCAAATACTCGTCCTGTAATTATCCCTGATTCTTACGTAGAAGGCCAGCATGCCAAACCCTGTCAAACAACTTCAATTTATGTATAGCAACAGTTCCAGCTTCGCCGTTAATATCAAGTCGTTTGTATACATATTCAGTTATGGCCGTAAGCACATCAGCAGTAGCCCGCGCAAAGCGGAAACCATATTGTATGTCATAGAACAGATGCTTAACTGCTTCGGTATTGATTTAAGCCTCGAAAACTGTATCGAAGAAGGGTAGGAGACTGATGGCACGGTAGTTAGATTGGTCAGAGTGTCTCCAGAGTTCTTAAAGTAAGACTTCCAGCTGGCTGAAAAGCAAGAGTCGGCACAGCAAATGTTATAGTGTTTGGAGAGAAATGGAGCTAGCTCAGGGACATATTTCTTTAGGACTACGGCTGTCATCCCGTCACTTGCTTTATGAGAGTTTAATTTAGAGATGATGTCTAATGTCATCGAAAGGGTTATGCCTATCTTAGTTAATATAACCTCATTTCTAAAAACCAGGTGTGGGTACCACTTGTGTTTAATTGGATGAGAATTCCTAGCAAAGCATTAAGCTTTATCAGCTCACGATGTTAGGAGTGAGTTAATTAAATAGAGGAGTGACTGAGGATTTGCTGTAGATCAGCACACTCTTGCAAGGCCGCCAATAATCTTTAGAAACAAACTTGTGAGATGCAATACGTTGTTTCATCACTCATTACGCGCGGACACAAAGAGACGTCTGTTGAAATCAGAAATGTGCTCCGGTACAGATGGAAGAAGTGATTCCTATGGATTACAGCGTCAGAACAAGCAGTTGAGAACCAAGGAGATGAACACGATTTAATTTGGTATTAATGCTGGGATGAAAGCTTTGATGCCGGATTCTACCAAGACACACATTTTTGTGCCAGATAAATAAAAACCACATTGTAAGTGACAGAACGGGTCCCAGTCTGAACGTTGATAACAGAGAGATATACTGTTAGTAGGATGTTCATGCCTAGAGCGGAAGTGGGAGATGTTAACAGACACCACCGCATGATCAGAGTTGCCAAGAGGGCAGAGCTGCGTAGCGCGGCAAGAATCAGTGATGGAGTTAAAACAGATCGACAAGGGAAGCATTACCGTGCGGGTTATTGGGAGAACAATTCGGAAAATCAACCACTTGCATCAGATTGAAAAGGTGAAGGTTTGGATGCCAGCAAGGTCAGTTACAGAGTGTTTAAATCATATATTATGCTGGGCGTCAGCCAACACGTGTGTAAACGAATGTAGAGAGATGGACTTGTCTATATTATCTAAATGCTATCGAGTACACCATATTCTTAAGAAGAATGGGAACGATAGAGAGAGAAAGGATATCCTATTGAATAGAGGAGAGATAGAAGGAGACATATACCAATGATTTGGATATTACAAAGAGAGCGGGGGATGATCGAGTAGATAAAATCATACATCATGGATGTGGATTTTAGAAGCCTTTCTATGGAGAGGGAGGGACCCAGGAATCGAGAAATCAGAGGAAGGGATTGACGAATTATGGTTAGTCTTGCAGAGAGCTAGTATATCAGGAGACTTATCAAAAAGGAAAAATTCTGCACTGCAGAATTTGTTACGAATACCACGGATGTTAGAAAAGAAAATGTTAAACGGTTTACCTGATGATTTGAATTGGTTTAGGTATATATTTTTGGCTGCTTAGCGTCCTGTTGAGTTAGGTTGTTTAAGGAAAAGGCCTTAAGTAAGAGAAACAGCCAGTCATCAAATGTGGCAGTTTTCACTGAATTAACAAAACTTTGATTTCGCTCATCTGGTTTATTTCCTACGCAATAATACATACATACATACATACATACATACATATATATATATATATATATATATATATATATATATATATATATAT